AGCTGAAATCTTACTTCTGAGGGTAACAAAGGCACAGAGAGCACAGCTGTTGCTGGCGTCTCAAAGCCACCCAGACCTGTATGCTGCTAGCCTGTTGACTGCAATGGTGCCGCCTGAAGTTATTGCTGACTGGCACAGGAAGGTGTCCTACCGCGGAGGAAGAAATAAGGCTGCCATCCCTAGAAACTTTTGAGAGAGGATTGCAATATACGTCCATGGAAATTTCACTAAGATTTTTGAAGAGGATTCAAGGGACACCCCTGTGTACATAAAATGCTCCATATGGGCCCCCCTGCTAATTCTGCAGGGCAATGAAAAACCGAGAGCAACTCTACCTCTTTATTGTACCCACTGCCTCTTCTAGTACAAGTAAATTAATGAAAAGTCAGTAGCTGTGTCCTGCTAAGTTGGGGGGAGGTATCAGTACATCATTGTAATGGGAAATACAATCACACATTTACCTGAGGTTCCTTCTCCTGCATCAGGCTTCCCTGTGCTCAACTACTGGCACTGATTGGACTGCAGTGGAATCTCAAACAGCTCCTGGCTCATGGAATAGCTGGACCCCCCCAGTCGCAGGACCCCCACTCTCCTCCTCACTGTTCACACCAAGGGCCTTGGAGTATCCACAGTGGTGTGTAGGGTGGCGATGGGGTGTTCACCAAATATGACATGCAGTTCTTTGTAAAAGCAGGAGGTCTGCGGCTCAGCACCAGATTGATTGCCGGCCTCCCTGGTCTTCTGGTATGCCTGCTGCAGTTCCTTTACTTTCACACGGCACTGCTGCTGATCCCTGTCACACCCCTCTCCTGCATCTCCTGTACAATCTGCTCATAGATGTCCATGTTTCTGTGGCCAGTCCATAGCTGTGCTTGCATAGCCTCTTCTCTCTACAGGCCCCGGAGATAAAATACCTCCTGTCTGCTCCGGGCAGGAACATGTCTGGAGTGTGCAGCCAACATGGCTGGTGGGGCAGTTGCACACAACAGTGGAAAGCTGCTAGGTGTACTTGCCAAGATGGGACAATCAGGAAAAGGCATTTCAAAAATTTGTGGGGTTTTAATGGGTGTGGGGGACTTCTGGTCTCTGTCACCCTGGAGAGTGGAGTTGACAACCGTGACCAGAGCAGTCAGTATCGGGCATTGTGGGATAGCTGCTGGAGGACTGTTAGGGTTGATAAAGGTAATGCAATGTCTACATTCGTGCTGTGTCAACTTCAGTGCATGGACCATGGCTCAATGCCACTTGGCGAGGTGCTGTTACTTGTGCATAATGAAGAACCTACATTGGTGGGAGGCAAATTTAAGTGTAGACTTATGCACAATTAGGTCGACACAAGGAGGCCTACGTCACTCTAATATTATCGTGTAGACCAGGCCTTAGGTTGGAGCTTAAAATGGCCCTAAAGGGATCCCTCAAAGGACCTACTATTCTCCTTAAACTACCTTATAAAACTCACCTGGAGAGCCATCAGGTCTTGGAATTTTAGTACTTGCCATGCTTGGTGTTGCCTCTAAGATTTCTTCTTCTATTATCTACAGTTTCTTTATCAATTTCATGTATTTTTGGCAAGCCTGCTACTTCCAGATATTTTTGAATCACTTCAGAGCTTGGTGTAAGTGAAGTAGAGTGGGTTTATAATAAGCAGCAAAAGTAGCACACATCACTAGGGTGTGTATCTGTTGCTGACTGTTAATTGGTGGCGTAATGGTTGCTTTTGAATCACTATAAGTTTAAGACAGTAACTTATCACTATTATTTCCTGTTTCATAAAACATTGGTTTTATATATCTAAGGGCTTCTTCAGTGGCATGTGTCATCAACATATTTAGTTTCCCACTAATATTAGTTAACTATTTATATACTATTTTGAACCTGGGGTTTTATGAATCTCTCCTGATTTTAGTTTTTCTTAATTTCCTTTTTCAATTGAGAGGTTCTGCTTATCAGCTGACCCCTAAAAACTTCTCCAAATGCCTCCCACAGAAGATATCTCTTTGTTCAATACTTTCAAATGATATAAATATAATGTCCTCTTTAATTGTTGTTGTCCAGTTTTTGTCCTGGAGAAGCTTAACTCATTGTCCATAAATCATCTTTGAGATCCACCCTAACCATGCAGTATAACTTCTAATGGGGTTATTTGACTATTCCAGTTTCTATAGATCTTGTCTGCTTCATTAAAGATTTAGAAACAAGCATTTCATAGAATCATAGAAGATTAGGGTTGGAAGAGACCTCAGGAGGTCATCTAGTCCAACCCCCTGCTCAAAGCAGGACCAGCACCAACTAAATCATCCCAGCCAGGGCTTTGTCAAGCCGGGCCTTAAAAGATGGAAATTCCACCACCTCCCTAGGTAACCCATTCCAATGCTTCACCACCTTCCTAGTGAAATAGTTTTCCCTAATATCCAACCTAGACCTCCCCGACTGCAATTTGAGACCATTGCTTCTTGTTCAGTCACCTGCCACCACTGAGAACAGCCTAGCTCCATCCTCTTTGGAATCCCCCTTCAGGTAGTTGAAGGCTGCTATCTCATCCCCCCCACTCTTCTCTTCTGCAGACTAAATAAGCCCAGTTCCCTCAGCCTCTCCTCATAAGTCATGTTCCCCAGCCCCCTACTCATTTTCGTTGCCCTCTGCTGGACTCTCTCCAATTTGACCACATCCTTTCTGTGTGAGGGGTGTGTGGCAAAACTGGACGCAACACTCCGGATGTGGCCTTACCAGAGCCGAATAGAGGGGAATAATCACTTCCCTCGATCTGCTGGCAATGCTCCTACTAATGCAGCCCAATATGCTGTTAGCTTTCTTGGCAACAAGGGCACACTGCTGACTCATATCCAGTTTCTCAACCACTGTAATCCCCAGGTCCTTTTCTGCAGAACTGCTGATTAGCCAGTCGGTCCCCAGCCTGTAGCAGTGCATGGGATTCTTCTGTCCTAAGTGCAGGACTCTGCACTTGTCCTTGTTGAACCTCGTCAGATTTCTTTTGGCCCAATCCTCCAATTTGTCTAGGTCACTCTGGACCCTATCCTTCCCCCCAGTTTAGTGTCATCCGTGAACTTGCTGAGGGTGCAATCCATCCCATCATCCAGATCTCTGGTTACCTGAGATGGAATAGTTGGTACAGAAAGGTTAATGCTACACCTATTTCTTTATCTATTTTTTCTTTCCTATCAGATTTGTCCCAGTAAGAAATTGGTCTACAGTTGAAGGCTTTTCCAAGTAGGATTTACCCTTCCCAAAGTGTTGCAGTATTTTAAAGAAATGTTTTTAAAATGTGCTTTGCTTTTGACTTGGATCCTAGACTGTACTGTTTAATAAAATAAACCATCCTTCATTCTTAAAATGATCATTAATCTGAAAATGCCCGTGTTTAGCAAATATGCCTTTGGCAGAAGCAAAAAAGTCATATTGAAACCAATTCTTTCCTGCCACAATCTGATCCTCCTGAAAATGAGTTTCTTGAAGTGAAATAATCTGAGTGGTTTTTTTAGTTCTACCAGACCTCTTTTCCTTTTAATGACATTACTTAGCCCTTTGACATTCAGAAATGATACCTTAAAGGGAAAGACACTGATAACTCGTTAGCTTATCCAAAACCTGAAGGTTGTATGTTTCTTTGGCTGTTTGAAGGCATGAACCATTGTATGGCAAATGTTTCATTTCTAATTATGTTGTATTCATAATTGTGTGCCTGAGTGGGCTTGATTTCTGCTTGTAAACTTCCGTAGCTAATTCCTTTATTAATCCTCTTACCACCTTCCCAGCCCCCGCCCCCCCCGTATTCCCCTTCCTTTACGTCCAAAAATAAAATACCAAAGTAGCATTTATATCAGTCCTCAAATGACTGACTTGCTGAGCCCAAAATAGAGATGGACAGAATTTTATTTGGAATGCTCTGTTCCATTTTTTTCAAATAAGGTCAATGTTCCATTTCAGCCTTTTCGGAAAAGAACCATTTGATTTTTTTTTTAAGTTATTTTTTTAGTTCCATTTTATATTATATAATATTTTAAAAGGTGAAATTGGAACAAGATGTTTTGATTTTTATCAGGATGAAATATTTTTACCCAAAGCAAAACTTCTTGAATTTAGTTTCATGGGTATTTTTTTTTGTTGTGTTTTGGAACTGAAATTTCAAATTTGCGTGTTTTTCCTGCCCAACTCTTACCCTAAACCACTGTACTCTCCCCTTGAACACTTGGACTACTTCTCTTTGCAATCCAAGGGAGGTACATTCTCTGCCAATGGGACTTCAACCCTTGCCCTTAGGGATAGATTACCACCTGATCATTTGCACTACATTGGGAGGATTTACATAGATCCCAAGGGCCCCTCCTTGTGCCTATCTCTTTTCCCCAGTCTCCTCCATGTGTGAGAGACACTCTAAATATTTTATTTTCTATTTGTAATATAAAGAACACAGCTACAACAAAGTTATGGCCACCCCAAGACCACCTTCTGGTTAATCTCATTCATCTTTCATCTTTTCTTTTTCTACCCCCCTTTTCAGCAGTTTATTATAGTTTAGTTTCTAATCTGGAGTATGCTCTTGGGTGGCTGAGATTTGGATATGGATTTCTATTCCAAGTGATTTATATGTGGCCTATACAGCTGTCTAATTTCTGAATGATTTGAAATTATTTGAAATATGGCTTTCTTGATTAAGGTAAAAAGAACGTATATAACACATGAGCAGTCATAACAGAAAAATTCACAAGCTTCTCTTTATCAGTTAGAAGAATACCCCATCTTAAAATGTATGGTACACCAAGGAAGGCTTGAGGTGTGATCCAGACTGCTTCCTCCCCCAAATGCCATTGCAGTGCTATGTATTGTGGTTGCTCTTTGAGCAGAATATCTTGCCAGTGAACCTTCTTCCTCAGATCCCTAACAGAGCTAGGTTTAAAAGCAAACAGCCTGCCTTATTTTGTCTTCCCTTTGTCCAATATTATCCAATTATTGCTTCTAAATAATCTCTCTTTTGTTTGCAGGTTGAAGAAAGGCCAGAAAAAGACTTTGAGAAGGTAAGAAAGTTGACATGAATTATATTGATCATAACACATAGCCTACCACTTTTCCATATGTTAAACTTGCATTAAATTTACACACATTTTGAATAAAATCCAGGGCAGGATATGGCTTCATATAGTAAGAACATAAGAATGACCATACTGGATCAGACCAGCGGTCCATTTAGCCATGATCCTGTCTTCTGGCAGTGGCCGGTACCAGATGCTTCAGAGGGAATTAATAGAACTGGGGCAATTATCTAGTGATCCAAACCTCTGTCGTACATTCCCAGCTTCTGGCAGTCAGAGGCTATGGGACACCCAAAGCATGGGGTTGTGACCTTGACCCTTTTGGCTAATCGCCATTGATGGACTTATCCTCCATGAACTTATCTAATTCTATTTGAGCCCTGTTATGGTTTTGGCCTTCACAACATCCCCGGGCAATGAGTTCCATAAGTTGACTGTATGTTTTGTGAAGAAGTACTTCCTTATATTTGTTTTAAACCTGCTGTCTGTTAATTTCATTGGGTGACCCTTAGTTCTTGTGTTACGTGAAGCAGTAAATTATTCACTTTCACTTTCTCCACTCCATTCATGATGTTATAGTCCTCTATCATATCCCCCCTTAGCTGTCTCTTTACCAAGCTGACAAGTGCCAGTCTTTTAAATCTTTTATATGGAAGGTGTTCTATGCCCTTAATCATATTTGTTGCCCTTCTCTGTACCTTTTCCAATTCTTATGTACCTTTTTTGAGATGGGGGTGACCAGAACTGCACTCAGTATTTGTGTGGACATGCCATGGATTTCTATAGTGGCATAATGATATTTTCTGTCTTGTTATCTATCCTTTTCCTAATGGTTCCTAACATTCTGTTAGCTTTTTTGATTGCCACTGCACATTGAGTGGATATTTTCAGAAAACTATCCATGACAACGCCAAGATCTTTCTTGAGTGGTAACAGCTACTTTGGATCCCATCATTTTGTAGGAATAGTTGGGATTGTTTTCCAATGCGTGTTACTTTGCATTTATCAACACTGATTTTCATCTGCCATTTTGTTCTCGGTTGCCCAGTTTTGTGAGATTCCTTTGTAACTCTTTGCTGTCTGCTTTGGACTTCACTATCTTAAGTAGTTTTGTCTTGTCTGCTGGGACTGCCAACATGAGTGCCAATTATATAATTTTGGTGGTGTTGGACACCTGTCTACTGTGAATTGGACTGAATTAAAGGCACAGACTTGCTTCTCATAGCTCACCAATTAGCTATCTGATGGTAACTTCTGTCAGTCACTTCCATCCTGTCCCAAATTTGAACTGATGACCTCAAGGTAAAGGTTTCTGTCTCCATCAGTAGCCATACTATAAATGATCTGAAAAATCTCAGGACATAAAATTTGTTCAACAGAAGGTCTTTTCTGACCCACTGATGCACAGCATGTCTACTGATGATCCATTTGCTATAAATTAAAACAAGTTTCTTTGTTCCAAAGAGATCATTGTGGTCATTCTGATTGGTATGCATATAAAAAGGCAGATCACATTCTCAAAATATTTACGTGCATTCATTTTTGTGTTTTAAAAAGGATTATTTCATAACCCATCTTATTTTAACCGTGTATGTATGGTTCTAGGGAGCTCGTACTGTGTCAAGCTTATCAGCAGCTACACTAGCCTCTCTGGGTGGAACTTCCTCCCGGAGAGGCAGTGGGGACACCTCCATCTCCGTTGATACTGAGGCATCCATTAGAGAAATTAAGGTAAGAAGTCTTTGTAAGTAACATGTATTGGTAGGAACTGTCTCTTGCTAGAGGAGTCATTCCAGTCAGAATGTATTTATCCATGTCTTGAAGTTTTCCACTAAGTTTGACCTAGTAAGCAGTGGAATTATTTAAAAGCATAGCTTTATATTTTTCCATCAGTATGTGTGAGAAATTACACATGCAAATCAGTATTGGCAGGAGTGACCAAAAACACCTCATTCATCTAAAGACTTGGCCCTCCTGAAATCATAGAATCATAGAATATCAGGGTTGGAAGGGACCTCAGGAGATCATCTAGTCCAACCCCCAGCTCAAAGCAGGACCAATCTGCAGACAGATTTTTTTACCCCAGTTCCCTAAATGGCCCCCTCAAGGATTGAACTCACAACCCTAGGTTTAGCAGGCCAATGCTCAAACCACTGAGCTATCCCTCCCCCCTAAATGTGGGCAGTAACTGTGGTCTGTTTTATGCAGAGTTGTGTAGCCATTTTGGCCCCAGGATATTAGAGACAAGGTAGGTGAGGTACTATTTTTTATTGGACCAACTTCTGTTGGTGAGAGAGACAAGCTTTCACAGAGCTCTTCTTCGGGTGATCTGAAGAAGAGCTCTATGTAAGTTCAAAAGCTTGTCTCTCTCACCAACAGAAGTTTGGTCCAATAAAAGATATTACTATGGTCTGTTTTGTATTTTCATTTTATTGGTTGGTTAAAAAAAATCTTATTTTTTGGAAAAATGGTGCATAGCTGTTCTAAAAAGAGATGCTGTAGCACAACTGGAAGTTATGGGCTCGATGTAGGGGGACTTGGGTGAAACACTATGGCCTGTGTTATGCAGGAGATCAGACTAGATGATCGGAATAGTTCCATCTGGTATTAAAAACTATAAAAGTGGAAAACAAACCGAGTCCCTTTCTCTCTCTCCCCCCTTGGTCACCCCCAAATTATAATATTTTACTTCTTTTGCAGTTCTAGCATCAGGAGGTGACCAAGGGGCGGGGAGGGGAAGAGAGAGAGAGATTGTGTAAAGCTTTAATTGGGCTCATAATTAAAATGAATGTCTTTATTCCATTTGCCAGTGGTATTTCCCACACTTCCTAGGGTGTCCTGTTGATGCTCATGTTCCCACTTTTCTCTGAAACTTATCATAGAGTGATGTAGCTGTGAGCACCTCACGTGCATTAATAAATTTATCTTCACAACACCGCTGTTGGGTGCTAGTAGAGAAATATCATTCCCATTTGACAGATAGGGAACTGAGGCAGAACGAGGGGGGAGGGGGGGACTTGCCCAATGTCATACAACCTGTGGCAGAGCTGAACACGGAATTCAGAGCTCCTGAGTCACGATCTAGTTCCTTAACCACAAGACCATCATTGTTCTAGAAACATCCCATTTTCCCAGTCAAAATGATTAGGACAGGAATAGACATCTGTTCAAGTTAGAGGATTGTGTGAAAGGTCTATACCTCTTTTTATAATGAAGTTTAGAAAACTCAAACTAGAGTAGAAACATGTCTGTAAATGGGAATTTTGAACACCGGCTTCTCACTCAGCTGTGATTACTGCCCATTAGTTTTCTTGACATCATTCACTTTTTTTGCCATTTCCCTCAGGATATCAATGAGTTAAAGAACCAGATTCAGGATGTAGAAGGCAAATACATGCAGGGATTGAAAGAAATGAAGGTACTGGTTTATTGCAGACTGAACATGTGATATTAACATCAGCTAAACTTTCAGAGAGGCACAGTGAGAGACAGAACTCGAATTTAACCTGCATGCTTTTATGCTGAAGTGTGAATTAACTAAAAGCATTTCATCAGTGAGGAAAACATGCTTCCCATTCTGATGACTAGTAATCATTTCTTTGGATAATTCTTGGTAATCAGCACATGTAAATATTTATTAACCTCTGTAGAAAAGGTCATTAATGAGAACTTTTACTACCGCATGTCTTATATTTTGGTGTCTTGAGAATGTATTTAAATCTCCATCAAAAATTGTAATATAAAGATTAGAGTATATAGAAAACTAATCAGTTACTCCTTTTTAAATATGTCCATAATACAAGAACAGGAAATCACTCAAAATTTGAGGGTAAATCTAAAATAAAAGTAAATGCTGATTATTAAGCATGTAACCAACCTGCGGAGTTCAGTGCCATGGGAAATCAAAGTTAAATACTGTAAATGTATTTTAAAAGGTACTTAGTAGAGTGTCCCAGTAAAACAATTGGTAAGTTATACGTGCCTGAGGGAGAGACAATCATATCTCATGTTATACAAGCAGCCCTGGTAAAACTTCCATATTTTATGGGGTAAACTGTCGGAGCAGCTGCAGGGGAAGAACGCCTACAAATTCCATTAATGCACAAAAGGATTTTGGTGTAGCAGCTAAATAAATGCATTAGTTTGACACTTTACACTATGTATTCAGCTGCATTGGCTCACGTTTTGAAAACAGAAGGCATGTAAAGATGAGTGTATTGGGGACTTGGCATACCAGATACTGTAATACAGTACATATTAGCGTAATTGTTAATTAAAATTAAAACTTTCTCTCCTACTTTTTCCTCATCTGTTCAGTAGTACAAGATACTCGGTTACTGGCATCTTAGGTGACCTGCAAATGGAAAAAATAGTTTGTGCTTTTTTTGCATCTTTTAGATATATGAAGCCTAAACTTTTTTCTCTTATAGATCACAAAATATATATTAGATTCTGCAAACTAATCTACCTTACCCTTTGAGAATAAGTGAACTAGATTTTTGTAATATTGTTCCCTTCAAGTGCATTTGTAGCATTTTTATCCAGGTCTGCTTGTGTCTTCGAAGACCAACAACTTCAGTTTTGCTTAGTCACCTCTGACCTTGCTTTTGGCATAGAATGAGGAACGTATACTTAATTAAAAATTCATTTCCAGCTGTAATAACTTTCTTCAGAATTTGCCAGGAAGAGACTGGAACATTTTAAGCAAACTAAATTCATCCCCTCCCAGAATAAAAGTGTTAAATAGCGAATAGCTTGAAACCTCCGACTGATTTAGGCTATTTCTTTAGTGGTTTTATTCTCTGTATTCAAATTTAGAATTATTAAATGACAGGTAGATAGTCCAGGGTTGGGATAGAATTTGATAATATTAATAAAACAAAATTGGGCATGTTCTACTATGATTCTGCATTTACCCTTAACTGTGTGTGCTTTCGTGCCAACTAATTTTAAGGGTTTAATTAATCATGTAGCTGCTTTGATTCCTGATTGCCCTTTCAGCAACTGAAATGTCTTGTCTTATACAGTACACCTGCAACATGCACCAGTAACATTTAATGATGAGACAGAAGTTCTTGTACCTTTAAAATGTCAGATTGCCTTATTCTTTAATAGTATTCCAAAATAGATTATTAATTTGAAAAGTAAGTATTTTGTCATCTTTTCAGTTTTAAAAGTCTGCACATTTCCCCCTGTAATGTTTATGGATCTAGTAGAAGTGGAATATTATAAATATCCAAAATTTATCATGGATGTCCATATAATGCTAGCAATATGACTTAATGAATTGGTGGATTGTTGATCCTAGCTTTAAATTAAGACCTCTATATAGGCACCTCTTTTGTTTCTTGCCTGCATACTTGCACTGCTGTGCTTTTGAAAGTTGCTGTTAGGGTGGTCTTAATTCAAATTGTGTACCTGGAGAGGTTTTAGACCTGCGATGTGACATGGCAAATGGTACCGTTTTATCTTGCCGACATTGCAGCTATTCTTATATCTGAACTGTTCTCATGCTCAGCCCGAGTTCATAAATCTGAATTGCCTAGACAGTCGGAACTTGATCTTAGTAAAGCAGGTTAAGAAAGGGGATCTAATAAAAGAAGGGGTAAGCATGGGGAAAAAAAATTTGTTTCACGCTTCATCTGAAGCAAAAATCTAACCAAAAATGGAGTATAACGGGCTGGTCTGCACTGAAAACGGACATTACATAGCTGGTGTCTCAGGTGGGTGAAAAATCTACCCCCCTGAGGGGCGTGGCTATGCTGACCTAACTAACCCCTAAAGCAGACAGCACTACATCAATAGAAGAATTCTTCTGTTGACCTAGCTGCTGCCTCTTTGGGAGGTGGACAACCGCAGTGATGGGAGAACCCTTCCCATTGCTGTAGTGAGTGTCTAAGCCAGGGGTCTCAAACACGCGGCCCAGGGGCCGCATGCGGCCCACGGGGTAGTTTTCTGCGGCCCGCGAGCTCCTCGCTCGCCCCCCCCCCCCCCCCAGCGTTTACCTAGAGCGGCTCCAGCCCAATGCATACCGGGGGAAGGGCAGGCTCCCTGCCTGCCCTGCCCCCTGCCGCTCCAGGAAGCAGCCGGAACGTGGGGAAGGGGGGGCACAGGGCTCCGTGTGTTGCTCTTGCTTCAGGCAGCGCCCCCAGCAGCTCCCATTGGCCGCAGTTTCCCGTTCCCGGCCAATGTGAGCTGCTGGGGGTGGTGCCTGAAGCAACAGCAACACACAGACCCCTATGCCTCTCCTCCCCCAGGTTCCGGCCACTTCCTGAAGCGGTGTGGGGACAGGCAGGCAGGTGGCCTGCCCTGCCCCCGGTGCGTGTCGGGCTGGAGCCCGCCCCCCCGCGCCACTCTTGCAGCCCAACCCCCTGCTGTACCCCGCACCCCTCCGGCAGTCCAACCCCCTGCTGTACCCCGCACCCCTCCTGCCCTCCCTGGGGGCAGGAAGGGGGCAGAGTTGGGGTGGGGATTTCAGGGAAGGGGTTGGAATGGGGGCAGGGCCTCATGGAAGGGGTGGAGTGGGGGCGGGGCCAAGGGTGGCGGGGGGGATGTGTCAGTAATGCGGCCCTCGGCCAATGTACTAGTCCTCATGTGGCCCTCGTGGTCATTTGAGTTTGAGACCCCTGGTCTAAGCTAACATGCTGCAGCTGGGGCTCTGTAGCATTTTAAGTGCGCGCATAGCCAAAAGGTAGTATACAGTAACTGCAATTTTTAATTAAACATACCACAGAGTCCTAATTTAAGACAGCAAAAAGCCCAGATATTGCCACCTCTTCTCCCAAGTTTGGGGTCCCAGTCAGCAAAGTTACTTAAGCACATGGTTAACAGTTGATTCAGTTGGACTGCTTGCATGTCTACAACTAAGCATGTACTTACATACTTTGCAATGTATAAAAGTGCTTTCTTTGAAGTAACCTCTCACTGCACTTACATATTTCTTGTCTTCAGGACTCCCTAGCAGAAGTCGAAGAGAAATATAAAAAGGCTATGGTGTCTAATGCTCAACTAGACAATGAGAAAACAAACTTCATGTACCAAGTCGATACCTTGAAGGATGCATTGTTAGAGTTAGAAGAACAGCTGGCAGAATCCAGGAGGCAATATGAAGAGAAAAGCAAAGTGAGTATGAACACTTCTTGAGAAGCTGAAAGTTGTTTGAAAAAATGTCTTCAGGGAAGAGGGGAATGAATCAAGTATATAGAAATCTACCCTTTGAATAGCACTCATTAGCAACTTGGCTGCCTTTTCTGCCTTTATCTGTAGGCACATGAACATGAGATTTAAATTTGATAAGTCAATATCCAGGATATGGTGACTTTTTCACATACAAGCTCATCAGTATAGCTTTATGTATTTCATTTGCATTTTGACTTCGAGAATATCCAAAAAGCCTTTCTGACTCCATAGCGACTTTTGAAGGCTTTCCCGTTTCCTCTGGGACCCGGTTACATACAAAGCTTAATTCAAGAGGCCATAGGAGAGTTGTGTGAGAAGTACTTCTTAAACAAATGATGGCATTCATGCGGTTAAATATTGAAAATATACTATTGACTTGAATTATTGTCACCTCACTGAGGTGATGGAATAAGCCTCACTGAGTTAACTTTCCTGCAAACTAGTATTTCCTTATGGCTTATGTGGTAACTTCTCAGGAGCTAAATCTTTGACTCATGAGATATTGGTTAGTGTGTCCTCCATCATGCATAGCTCTTGGGAAACTGTTTGCTTTTAAAATTTCACAATAAGAACTGGCCAAGTTGGAGTACTCGACCTTTTGGAAAAGGTAGGTTCCATTCCTAGTCATTATCTCTGAGGTCAGCAGGGCTTGAGTGCTGTAGATGATGTGTACTCCCCCGGCCCCAAAATCCATGCTGCCCAGTTTATTATGGATCAGTGTCTAAATTGAGCATTTGGTTTGAAATAACCCAGTCCCAATCTCAGATTTCCTTCATAAGAGACAAACAAGCTTAAAATTGAGATATTGATACTTACCCTTGTGTAAAGCACTTTGAGATCTGTGTATGAACAGCTCTAGGTATTATTATTATTCATGACAAAAAAATATTTCCTTGCCTCTCCAGGAATTTGAGCGGGAAAAGCATGCTCATAGCATATTGCAGTTTCAGTTCACGGAAATCAAGGAGACCCTGAAGCAAAGAGAAGAAATGCTCGAGGTAAGTAATTACTCCGTTGTCTTTAATGTGGTTGTTTGATTCATGTGTTCCAAACTAACAGTTAGAATATAGAAGGCTTAGACAGGAATGGAGAATCTTAGTCCCTGCCCCAAATTTCTCATCTGATGCAGTACTGTAGGTTGTCTGTTAGCCCTGAAAAGGTTAGGGCTGATGAAAACAAAAATATTTCAGAAGTACTGTTCGTAGTTGGATTTGTATGTTATGCTGTCTTTAATTTCCCAGAATAAGTTGTTATATGCTCTGGGCTCCTTCTTGTGGTGAGGCTGGAAGAAAGAGGACAATGGCATAAAACTCCAGTAAGGATTCAGAGCAAGATAGTTCCAGTAGACAGGTGTTTGTCATCATACTAAAGGTGAGAGGTTGGCTGTCCCTAGCTGGGTAGGTTTCAGGAGTTGCATTCATCTCTTTGAAGGAAAACAGTTGCATTTTGACTTAGAGAATATCCAAAAAGCCTTTCTGACTCCAGGAAATGTTATCCATAGCAACTTTAGAAGGCTTTTCCGTTTCCTCTGGGATGCATGTAGGTAGTTTGTTGTACTTTCTTAACACCTGATTTCATTGTTCTTTGCATCACTACAATCTTGAGTTTTTCTTCTGATTAACCCTTTACCTGCTTTCTGTCTCCTTGTGTGCCCCTGCCCCTCAGGAAATCCGACAGCTGCATCAGAAACAGGAGAGCTATATCAGGGAAATTTCTGATCTTCAGGAGACGATAGAGTGGAAAGACAAAAAAATAGGGGTAGGAATCGCGCACACCTTCTGAAATTTGCTCAGTTTCACACTGAGCTTCTTTAGCAGACTCTACACCTGCAAAACCTCATGAATGAAATATTACCCTATACAATGTGACCCACAATCTGTCTAATAGACTCTTTACATAGAATTGTGGCTTTAACTTAAAAGATAAGGTCCAAGAAAATGCTTATCTTCTGACCAGATTTGAAAATTCACTGGAGTTCATATAACATGGTGAAATGTGTGCACCCCATCATGGATATGTATAACCAAGAAAGGAGTGCCCTTTAGTAAAATACTGGCTATTCATGATGTGGTTTCAATGCTGAATGGAATTGGTTTTCTGTTCAAATGTATTACCTTTGCTCTTTTAAACCATAACTGCACTGTTGGAAAGGAGAAAGTGGGCTTGTTTATAGCTCACTGGACTCTTGGGATGAAAATCTTCTTTTTTTCCCCACCAGTGTAAACGAAATGTTAACTCTAAAGAGAAATATGGTATAGGGAGTGGCAGATGAGATGTGAAAGACTCTTTTCTTGGGTGGACAAAAGAAACCTGGCAAGTCGTTTGTCCATGATGTTGTCCTATGACTTATGGCAATTTGAAACCCACAATTTAAAATGGTCAAAGTTTCACTACTGCTGAGAATTTTATAAAAGTTTGTACTGCATGCTGCATACTTGAGGTATACGCACTATTTCCATGACAGACTGCAAAAGTTCCATGGACGCCACTGAGATCTGTCAGACCAGCTTTCATACACTTTCTTTAATGTATTTTGATTTAAAAAAAAAACACACCCACACAAAAGTACTATAGGAAATTCCAAGTCAAGAGTATAAAAATCTGTTCTTAGCTGCCTTATTGTATCTAGTTACTGAAAAATCGAATCCCAACACAGCGCAGGATATCAGAGGTTGAATATTTATTATGAACTCCCCAAACTGAAAGTTTGGATTAAGTCATATATTTACTCTATTTACATTTTTTTATGAATTTGTAAATTTAGCCTTTAATCTGTTAATTTTCTCCTTTTCATGCATGTCAGTTCCATTAACTTCTGAATATCTGAAACCTGCTTATTCTTATTTCTAACTTGCCTTACATAGTCTCTTCTCCTTTCTTGTTGTCTCCCTGCCTTCTGTCTGTTTGCTCTGTGAACACTCAGGCGTTAGAGAGGCAGAAAGAGTTCTTTGATTCCATAAGGAGTGAGCGGGATGACCTCAGAGATGAGGTGGTTGTGCTGAAGGAACAACTGAAGGTATGCCATAAGAACAGAAGAAACTCTTGTTGCTAAAGCAATTAAGTAATGAGTTGCTGGTTTCTCTTCTGGTGCACTGGACAGAAAAGCTGGTTCCAGCTATCCAGCACTGATGAGCCATATGTACATGTTGCTCTCATTCATTTCAAGAATTTGCTTTTTACTTATCTCATCTGTGATAGCTGGCATTCCTAATATAGTGAATATAGGTGAGGGGCTGTTGCCCAAGGAACATTTCAGATATTGGGCAACAGAGCTACTTTAAAAAGGTGATCAGATCTGTTCTGTCGGAACTTTGAACAAGGCATATTCTCATTGGTTTTGTGATGAAGCAACCACTGCTCAAAATATAAAGGGACAAGAATGTTCAGCCAAATATATTGTTTGAACACCAGACTTTAAAATGTTCCTTCCTTATCCACAGAAACACGGAATAATCCCAAACTTGGAAGTAGCCACCAATGGAGAGGCTTTAGATGGTCTCGATAATGAAGCACATTCAGATTCTACCAAGATTACTCCAGGAGCGACTCAGATCCTACAGACAGCTGGGGATGGGACACTAGGTAAGTGCTGACACTCCACTAGAGCAGTGATACTCAGACTATGGCTTGTGAGCCGCAAATGGCTCTTTAATGTGTCTCCTGCGGCTCTTTGCAGCACACGATATTAAAATCCTGGATGCTTTTACTGTGGTATTAACCAATTAAGTTATCAACTTGCACTGCTTAAATATGAATAGTACTATAGTAAATGAAACAATGAATTCACACTACCGGGGCTCTTTTAGGTAATGCTGATTGCTAATTTGGCTCCTGAACCACTGAGGTCTGAGTATCACTGCACTAGACTTTTCCATCTGTCTAATCCTAATTCATTCACTTTTTTGCTTGGAGATTGAGCATTCATTATTTGGACAATTAACCAGTCACGCAGCTTGTTGAATCACCTCCTATGCCTTTTTCTGCTTATTGATTATGATCGCTTCATTTCAAGCATATCATGACATTTTTCTGTACCTGCAAAAGGAGATTTTTATTGTATGGTCCCTTTGTTCTGCACCCTGAGAAAATAAATGGTCGTGACACAAGTATAAATACAAGATGAGTAGCAGCTTATTTAGCTTAATATTAAAACCTGAATTTAGGAATGTCCTCAACAATCCTACTGTTGCTTTGATTATTTTTTCTAACACAGAGAATTAAGCTGAGAGAGAACCAGAATAAGAGCATTTGAATTCTTATATGTAAATTTAGCACACAAATTCTGTAACTAATATATTATTGGAGAACATAAAGCTCTGCTGAACAACAGTTCAGTGTGCTGCTGCAAGACATTTTCACATAGTTCTAAATTCTTAATATCTAGTACTGTTAAGTATAAAGCAATTTATATTGCTGGAAATTTTGTAACAATTATATGCTCAGCAATGTGTACAGGAAGTATACATTATTTGTGTGTGTCCTCAGACAAGGAGGAATCTGGTTGGCAAAGATTCTGACTTGGTGCAATTATATTGTATAGTCAGAATCTGAACTGATTAGCTATTGAACTTCCCACTGTCTCATTAGCTCATGGAAGAGGAGGAAATACTCGTTTTTTATTTCTAAATTGAAATACTAGCAAATCTCAACAGGCAGCCAACCATGTAATTAGAAGTGGGAGTTTTCTCAGATTTAGCTGTTGGCAGCTTTTTCTCATTCCATTAGGTGAAAACAATTTGAAACAACAAAAACAGGGTCTGAGAACATTTAAAGTTATATCTAAAACTCTAGTCTGTTCTAACGTATTCTGATTCTATGGAAACAGGTACGTCATAGGAACAAAAGCTAATACCCGACATTGAGTGCTGGTTAACACCTGCTTTTTTGCTCCTAAAGTGCTGCAAATTGGAAGAAAAGTTATATTTTTAGACAATACTTGAGAGAGAAATATTGTCCCTTTTGGATGGATGTAGTGGCTGGAAGAAGCGCTAAATAACTGAGCTTCAACCTTGTGGGTTATGTCTGATATCCGTGCATTCAAAACATTTGCCTGCCAATCAGATCCCATCTTCCATAACACTCATTATACACACTTATTTATAAAATAGTGCCTGTTTTTTTAAGTCAATAGCTATATAAAATATTGCTGAGTATTAGGTAAGTTACTTGGTTGTAATGCCATCAAACAAACACAGCTTGGCAATAATAATACAGTATAGAGCAATGTGAGGGTTAAAAATATGGTGAATACTTGTGGATCATATAGCTTGTACTTGTTAGCAGCAAAAAAACCCCAAAACTCTACCTTTGTCTCATAATCTTAAATCTGCGAGTTTTGTTACATTACTATTAATAAACTGCACTGCTTGAAAAATGTTCATCTCATTTATGAAAGCTGTACTTCATACAGCTTCAACTAGAGAAATCTTTAACTTATCTGATGCCAGAATCAGATACAACTCTTGCTTTTGGGAAAGCGGGGGGGGGGGGGTTCACTGATCAGAGAATTTACTAATTCAATTGCTGCTTTGCCTCACGTAATTGGCAAAAGCTGATCTTTTATTAACCGATTCTTTTAATTCATTTTCTCTTTTGGGGTTTAAGTGGGGAGGTAAGTGTTACATGTTTAACAAATTTAAGTAGTCACCCCTTGGTGTAGTCCCTTCAACTTTCTCAATGGTCTTTTAGGCAGAGCGAATGAAGTGGAGATGAAAGATGAGATTTTGGAGGATGTGGGGAAAAGAGAAATCTTGCAGAATACTGAGCATGAGGAACACAAAGAGGAGTCTGAGGAGCAGGAAATTGTAAAGGAGTGTACGGAGATAAAGACATTGCATGCTGATGAAAATACAGAGGCAGAAAAAACCATGGAAGACAATGATGTCACATCAACAGTGATGTTAAGTAGTGGACGTGAGGAACAAATTCAAAGCCACACAGAACATGTTTCAGGAAATGTTTCTTCCACTGAAAATAGTGATATAATTGAGTTGAGAAAGGAAACAGAATCAGGAGATGATAGCATAGAAGCCCAACAGCCTGATAGTAAGGAATCTGAACATAGTAGTGATTTAAATCGCTTGACTAATGAGAATTGGGAAACAGGTACACTGCAAAGTCAGGGTATTGAGACTCCTCTGGGAATACCTACTGACATAGACACAGAGCATGAATCTGAAAGAGTTGCACAAGAGCAGAAAGTAACGCAAGAAGACTTTACAATTTGCCAGAGAGAAGACAGTATTGAAATATTTCAGGAAGCTCTTGATTTTGTGGTTAGCAGCCACGCGTCAGCTTCTGATCAGTCAGGATCACCAGAAGGTGCAAGAGCAGGTACAGGTAATGAAGAATCACATGTGGAGGCTCACACTGAAAGTCTCTGTCAAGCAGAAGAAAGCACTGAAAATGAGGTTATGAGTAGCTTGGAGAAACAGCTTGATGAAGATGAAGGGTGCATAGACAGAACAATTAGTAAAGTAGGGAGTGGTAAAAATGAGAGTGATACAGCCGAAGAACAAAATAAGACTGGAAATACAGTTCTGAGTCAGGGAAGGAAAGAAGTAGATTCTGTGGAAGAGGAGGGAGAAGCAGCATGTGAAAGTGAGGTCACACCAGATACAATTGTAAAAGAACAAAAGCCAGATGAAACACATACTCTATCCACTTTTTCAAAGAGCGATCTGATATTAGCGGAAGAGGAAGGAAATATGCAAGATGAGGCAGAGAATGAGAAGGATATTGCTGGGAGGGGACAAACAAAAGACATAGGAAAGATGGAAGAATTGACAGGCATGTTGGATGTACAACCAGATTCTGAAAACAAAAGGGTGGAAGAAGAGGAACCTGTGGCATCCCTAGATGAATTTGCAGAGGTAAAAGAGGGTGTATCGCATCAGACAGGGCAGGACCAAGATGTCATGAAAGAAAGTCAATCTCAAGAAACTATTTTAGTTCCTAGTCCCAGCGATCATGAAATTGAGGAGTCAAACACAGAAATGTGGGATGAATCTAGGAAAGGAAAGGAAAGTAGAAGTGAGTTGATGGAAGATGAGAGAACACAGGTAGAAACCCAAACAATTAAGTGCAGTGAAGAAATAAAGAATAATCCAATACAAGAAAAAGATAAGACTGTAGAAAATGAAATGCAGAAAGTAGTTAAACAAGAGGAAGATGAATCTAGACAAGAATTGACTCAAGATGTCAGTGTAATTATTGAAGAGAATGTTGATGATAAAGAGGCATCAGTGGAAAGTAGCGAGAAGCTGGATCTTCCAGACCAGCAGCATGATAGATTTGTTTCTGATGATAGTTCATTGCAGAAAATCACAAAACTATCACAGCAACTTAGTGAATCCCTTGAAGGCAACACAAAGGAAATGGAAGTTCAGAACACTGTGTTAGATGATGCATGTCAACTTAGCAGAAAAGAAAGGGATACAAAACAGATGGGAAATGTGAATGAGGAAGATGAAAATAAAGGAATAGAAGAGCAGCATGAATTACAAGAAGTTAAGAAACAGGAAGTTGTTCCAGATATTGAGGAAGATGCTGATTACCTCAAGACACAGAAAGCAGAGCTGGATGAGAAGCCTGATGAACAAGTTGAGGTGAAGGGTCAAGAGGAGGAAATAGTGGAAGATGATGGTAAAAAAATTGATTTTGATGATGAATTAGGGCCGATATTAAAAACTCCTGGAAAGCATGATGCTGAGGAAGTTAATACACAAATGTTGGAGGAAGTTAGGGAAAAGGAAATAGTCACAGAAACTGCCAAAACAGAAAAAGGTGAAAAGGAGGAAACTCATCAAAGCAAAACTCAGAGTGTAGAGAATGAGGGCATGATTACTGAAGGCAATGCTAGTATCCAGCAGGAAAAAGAAAAGGAAGCTGAAGAAGCCTGTCATTTGCAAACTGATGCATCTCAGTCTGCAGCTCCAGAAAAAGCATGTGATCTGGTGGAGGACGAAACTGAAAATGAAAAAGTGTTAGACAGCAATGATATGGAAAAAATAGCTGATGGATATTCATCAGAACAGGAGTTAGGAAACGTAGGCAACACTAGGGATGAAAGCAAAGAGGATATGCAAGCTAGTAGAAGGGGCAAGGGTAGATCTAAAGAAGATTGTATGATATCATGAGTTCAAAATCTAGGACCCAAATAAGTTACATACCATTTTATCGCTTTCAGTACAAAAATGCATTTTGCACAATAAATTAGACTTTAGAAATACTCTTTAAGTTTCTCTGAATGCAAGTCTCATAGTACAATGTCAGTCTATACATATGGACATCCATCCAAGTTATTTACTGCGATACATGTCCACCAGAGATTAAACATGTAGATTTGTTTTAAATCTCTCAGGTTTCATATTTGATCACCAAAAGAACAAGCAGCACAAATGTACTGTTCAGGTTCACGTCTAGTTAAAATGCTTTTAAGGCAGATCTCTCCTACCAAGAGACCTTAAATACTGCTCTTATTTTCTAGACTAGTTTTAAGCAAATTAGATGTTTTGAATGTACTTAAATACCTGCCATAGGTCTCTGTTAGTTACCATGAAGTGGTGATGTGCCTATCATAA